ATCCGTGGTTTCCACGGGTTTTAATCTAATATATATATATATATATATATATATATATATATATATATATATATATATATATAATGTAATTTTCTAAGCTTTGCGTATTATCAATCAAGAAGACAAGAAGTGTTTCTCATATATTATTACTCTTGTTTTACTTTTCTGTTTTTGTTTATACTTCGGTTGTTTTGCACTCCGTTTCTTTTTAATCTATTCTGCAACTACTAGCCATATTTTTACAAGACATTCCCTCATCAAAACTAAACTCTGGGTTTGGATTCAATTATACCAAAACAAAACTCATGTTCACTCCTATTTTATTTGGACTTTCGGGCTAGCCTTTGGCGCTACCCTTACTATGTATATTTTGTTAAAACTAATAAAAATCTTAGAAATTCGTAAATAATATATCTCAAATCTTGTTTTATCATATACGTGTGTACAATTAAATTTTGTCAATTTTGGTCATTGGTTTCGTTCCATCCTAATTACCAATTAGAACACCCTCGAGCTTTATTTGGACTTTCGGGCTAGCCTTTGGCGCTACCCTTACTATGTACATTTTGTTAAAACTTAAAACTAAGAAAAATCTTAGAAATTCGTAAATAATATATCTCGAATCTTGTTTTATCATATACGTGTGTACAATTAAATTTTGTCAATTTTGGTCATTGGTTTCGTTCCATCCTAATTACTAGTTAGAACACCCCCAAGCTTTTCAATAAAAACCAAGAAGTTTAAAAAATATGAAATATCCTGTTGGGTTAATCTGATATTTTGAGTACATGATTTTTTTATGGAAACTTTCAGAATTTGAGTTAGATTAGGATGTTATCTCTTTTAGATAAAGTAACATAAAGAGACTTCGTATTATTGATTAATATAATGTGTAAAATAATAAAACGAAATGTATGATTATTTATAATTGTTGAAGGACCTTTTTGTAGACAATATTTTTTGTTTTATTGGTTGAACGACCTTCCTCATCACATATGAGTACCTTCAAGCTTTTTTTACTTGTCACGTGAGAAACAACTACATATAACTGACCATGAGTGAAGAATAATATATATCAAACACTCAATACGATTATGGATGGAATAAACGCAGTATACAAGAATAGATTTGTGATGTCAGACAGTGGTGTGGGACAATAGTATATATCAAACACTTAATACGAAATTTAAAGCTTTTATTATGTTAACATATTCAAACCATGTATACTTATACAAATTTAAGGAAAATATAAAGATAATACGGAATTTAAGGGAAAAATGAGTTATACAAATCGAACATTATAGACATTTAAGCACTGAAAATATAAAGATAATATATAAATATGAATTTTACCATTTGTGATGTCAAGCAGTGGTGTGGTTGGAGAAGAGTTAATGGGTAAAACATTACTAACAGAACTTTTAGGTTTTTTCTTTCTCGAAACATATGAAATGTCACTCATTTCAATATGCTTATTTTGGTTTGCGTTCTTGGTTAAAGACGTGTGACTCAACCAAGTCCTTTTGACTCTTTTTTTGTATGCAACCTAATATTGGGCAGGGATTCGTAAAGAAAAAAAAACATGAATTGATTTAACAAAAGAAAATGAATTGGTTTAATGAATAAGAATTAATGAACTTTTTTGCAAATAGTTAAAGGTTTACAGTGACTCAACCAACTCAACAATTTACAGCCATGTGTTTTATTTGAATTGCAAAAGAGTTCAAAGTAATTAAGTCAAGATCAAAAGACAAACAGAGGTCGCCTTTTTAGATGACTAAACATACAAAGTAGATTATTTAGCTTAGAAGTGTTATATTTGATAATAACATATAAATGATGCTTTTGATATAGGACATGGAATCAAGTGTTGCAATTTTCATTCCTATCAAAATATAGCCAAGGACACATTATAATACAATGTATAAAAGAAACTTATTATTATTATTATTATTATTATTATTATATATATATATATATATATATATATCGTATTAACATTTTACTTGGGTCAAAATGGTAATAAGAAATCTAAAACATACTACTATTACATTTTATTTTTGATAAATATATAAAATATATAGCTTTTATATAAATAAACTTGGGTAAATATCTTATTTTATACAAAAGTTTTATAGCCTAACATGGTTTAACAATTTATAAAAAAAAAAATAGTTGGTAAAAGTTGAACTCTTAGTTTAAACACACATTTTTTTTCGTACTTACTCTGCAACGCCTTCCTGTATAAATTGAATTAATATTATATTATTTAATATATATGCAATTAAATCAGTATTCACAGATCCTTTGTGTTTGACGTTTCTGATATTTGAAGCGCCGCCTATAACCACACCATTAGAATTTGCATCAAATTTATATTTAAGTTAAAATGCAAATACCTCTCGAAAGTTAACCTATAATGATAACATATTTTTAATTTACCCACAAAAAATAGACTTATATTTTGTACAAAAACAACAATGTACTTACATTTTGAAAACAAACTCAAAGTAAGTTGTTATGACGGAAAACAAATGATTGTATTAAGCCATTGCACTTTCACTTTTTAGTATGAAGACATATTTCAAAAAATTATCCAGTTATATCAAAGACGAAGATAAACACACACGCACACACAAAGAATGAAGCAATGTAAAATGCTTTTGTAACTAAATTGTATATTCAACCAAAGCTAAAGCAATCATTTGATAGAGCATTCAATAACCATTAAAATCCCCCATGTGACCATGTCATTCGTAAGATAGGAAGTTGCAATTAATTTACTAAAAAAAAGTCAAAACATAAAAAAATGATGATCTTTTTATGCCGACATTTGTATTCATGGTGGAAAAGTAGTTAATAGTTTAAATTGTAATATTGTTTTTGAAAAATTATTTGATGAAAGTGATGTAAATTAATAGAGAGATCACAGTGAGAGATTTACGTTCATATAATGTTTAATAGTGAGAAATTTTCATGCCGACATTTGTATTCATTGATTCAAGTTTTCTTGGTTTCTAGAAGGAATCCTTTTTTTTAATGTTAATAGTTAACATTCAGATTTATGTTCATATAATGATTTTCTGAAAATATAATCACGATTTAACCTAATGAATCAATTCAACTATAATAACAATAATGAATAAAAAAACATAACGAAGCAAAAAGAAAAAAAAATAGTTCAAAAAACATATTGAAAACACAATTCGATACATGATTCCATATAGTTGATTCATACTATAACAACAAAAAGAATGCAATGGAGAGGATAATGAAACTTGTTGTAGATGATGGAAGATGGAAGCCGACAGCAGGACGTCGACATAAAGGTTGAAGAAAGATTTTTTTTTTATGCTCTGTATGATACGTGATATTATGTAGGGTTAATAATGATAGAACGCATACCCTATTAATATAGGGATGTATCAAAGTAAATTAGGTAGGAAACATATATTTTGAATAATTAAATGAATGCAAGGATTAAAAAATCGATCCAAAAATAATCAGAATCATACCAACGTTAATAAGATATTTAGAAGATTTTCATTTAAATAAATAAAGATCATATAATACCAAATTTAATTAGAGTCTTCAAATTTTTTTGAATTATAATTATAATCAGAGAATATTTTGGAATTACAATTACAAGCTTAAAATATTTCGAATTATAATCAATGTTAATAAGATTATATATATATATATATATATATATATATATATATATATATATAAAAACAGTTTGAAAATTAGAATATGCAAATAAATATATTAAAATTTTAAAATTATATAAAAGGGTAAAATTGAAAAAGAAAATACTAAGAACCGAAAAGAAAATCATGAACCATGCTGAGATTTGTACAACTCTTCAACTTCCTACACTGGTCACAACCAATAGACCCGCATTCTCACTGCAAATAACAAATCATAAACTCTTCATTTATTTATTTTTTTATAAAAGTAGTGATTTATTTAGAAGCTAAAAAAAAGTTGAGATTTGTCAACTTACATAGATACAGAAGATCCAGTTTCTGTTCCAAACAAGTCAGACAACAAAATGCCAATTCCCTAACAACAAAAGAAAAGACAAACATAGTTGTCTTTTTTTATTTTTGTAAAAAACATTTAATTATCTTTAACTAAAAGTTCAAAAGAATTATAATAATCTGACATCCAACACCACGACTTAAAATAGATGGAGGCAAAGGAGTGACACTTGCATACCATGAAACCGCAATGAATCCACCAGTTGATTGAATCAAATAATTGAAACATGTAAATAATATTAATTTTGACTTTTTAATAATATTAGCGAAAAGGAAAAAAAACAAAAACGGTCAAACGGTCAAAAAGTTTAGATGCGCCAATCGTGCGAACTAATTTTGGTATTTGGACACAAATAGCATTCACAAAAAGACACTAAATTAGAAATTGCAATGTAGTTTCATTTATTTTTGTAGCTTTTAAATAACATAAAATAAAACAACTCATGCAGAAAAGAACAAACTTCTCAAACCTGCTTTGCTGCTTTTGACATCTTTTTGTAAACAATCAACAGCCGACGAAAAAGAGAATGTTTATGTAACTCAAAAAGATGAAAAATAATTAATATCTTAAAAAAAAACAAATACAGTGATGAAACTAAAATTGTGAGGTCCAGGCCATGTATCACCTCACCAATCTCAAGGAAACGACTACTCTCATTGCATATCATCTGTTATGAAAATTTATGTAAAATTTTAAGTTTATATGCCAAAAATATTTTCAACTATTGTGTGTGACAAAAGTATATGTAAATTTGTATCTCAAGAAGTGCAAATATATGAACCTCTATAATCATGTGACCAGGGTATTGTAGATCTTCAACAATTATGGGGCATACTTTCAGATCACCTCCCAATTCAAATGCCCAGCTTGCCCCATTTTTACCACCTTTTTCTTCGGATGTTATATCATTTGTCTCAATGCTTCCCACTCCCTAAAGATCATCCACCCATTAAGATTGTGTGCATTAAATATTTTATTATGCAACAAGATATGAATAAAAAAATATATGTAAATATTAATAGACTTACCTCTGGTTGAATACACTGTCTCAACTTGCTAGCACAATCACCAACACTTTTTAAAAAAGACATGTGTTTTACTGTTCTGTTCTATCCAGCAGACCATCAATGCTACACTGCAATTCAAAAGAAATTAGGACATGACACAAAAGGGCAATTTAGTAATTTAAAGAAGAAGAAGAACCTTTTATCCATCTAGAACAAGTTCCCGCAAGTCCTTGAGCCGATCCTAAATCAATTTTCAGTCTCGAGGTCTAGCCTTCTGTTTAGCACTTGGTTTCCCCCTTCGTTTATTGACAATTGACGGTTTTGCCCTTCTACTCTTTTGTTCTTCTTCCTCTTTCACTACATCACCTACACCCTCATATGAAATAGCAGAAGTTAAACAACTATCATTATGACTTGTCACCCTACTAAAAACCCCGGGTACTAAATGGTCATTAAATACTGAACTCTCTCCCTCAAGGCCTCCATTTTCATTTATATTTTTCCTTTTTGTCAAAGAAGAAAAATGGCCAAATGAATTACTAAGTGAACTTTCACCACTTGTTTGGATACAAGGATTCATATTTACCAAAAGATTTTCCACACTCTCATTGTAAAAAACCATTCCATTGGTTTTACTTTTACTATCATCACCAATGGAAAGATTTTGGAAAGAATCATCTGCGGGCCCAAGAGCTTTATGCAGCTCACAGTCTTTAGGGAAGCTTAAAAACGAGCCCACAACAATGATTATAAGTCCATTGTGGTTTGACCAGTTGACTTCATCAGAACTCTTGTTGTTCTCCATGAATGATGGGAACTCATTAAAGCTTTTCATAATGAATGATGATGGAAATTGTTGGTTTGTTGAAAAAGTATCAGAATAACTCATGAAATCTTAATGTGTGAAAAATTCGTTTTTGATATAGTTGGACATTTGTGCATCCTCAGGAAGCTTGAAGATTCATTGCAGATTAAATCATTAGATCAAAGTGTATAATAAAGTGCCAGCTGGCAGAAATTAACATGACATGAAGGAATGAAAGCATACATACGTGTTCTGATGACCCGAGTTGTAGAACTCAATGTGGAGTAACAGGCACCAGTAAAATAGTCTGCATGGTAGAAATCAAGAAACTATCAGTAAAAAAAAGTCAAGAATTGAAAACACAATCTAGTCAGTAGTCAATAATGAATACCTTGACACCTGTTGCAAACTGAAATAACCATTCATTTGGATGTTGCTAATGGAAGGGTAAATGGTAAATTACTAAATTTACTTTTGGTAATTCATAACTTGAAGTTTTAAACTCACCTCGGGAACGGGAGTGTTCTATCTCCTGATGATTCTGGATTTGCATAAATCGAGTGAGAGTTCCCTGTATATGCTACATCACCAACAACCCTACAAGTGGTTCACATTAACTTTCATCACTTAAAATGTTTTGACATTTTTCATATAATAAATATTGTGTACTCACATCAAACTGTGCATCAAGATCTGCTTGTCCTTCAATAATTTCAATGAGCTCTTGAACTCTCTCAAATCATTGAAATAATCATCACCATTACCTACAAATGAGCTTCAATTTACAAAAAAAAATGAAACTTTTCCATATCATCTTAAAAATAATCCAAAAATAATAATTTTTTTAAAGGATGATGCTATTAAATAACTTTTTTTGCAAAGTTCAATACTAAAAACATTTTTTCCCCAAAAACTATCATATTAATTACCAACTAATGAACATTTAAAATTATATATTACATAAATGGTCCATTTGTGAAAAAAATTACATAAATGGTCTATATTTATAAAAAATACATAAAAGGTCCATACGTGAAAGAAAATGACAATGTACATTCCATTAACAAAATGTTAAAAAAAAAACAGTCGTCTAAATGAGATCTAATAAACATCATTAATTTCTAACAAAAGAACGAAATACCCTTCAAGCCTCAAACAACATAACCTGCTTCTGTTTCTAGAATTCCATCGAAACCACATGAATATGAAATTTTCTCAACTCAAAGAATTGTTGTTTTTAAAATTATTTCCAACCATATACCAAAAATACCCTTTATTTTTATTCATTTTTTTAACTCTATGTAACCATTTATTCAACCAACTCTTTAATTTAAGATAAACCACAAATATCATTGAAATAACCATCACCATTACCTAAAAATGAGCTATAATTTACAAATCAGTTTTAACAGCTTCTTTCCAAGATAAGTTGATTCTTTTATCTCCAATAAATGATGGTGACTTTGCATGGAGTGGTTGTATTTACAAAACCAAAATATTATCAAATTATTATATATATATATATATATATATATATATATATATATATATATATATA